TTATAAAAAAATTGATTAATGATTTTTACTATATCACCTGCACTATGTTTGTAAATCGATATGCATTAGACACCCCAGTACTGTACGTACGTACGTACGTACAGTACCGGTACGCCATTGCGGTGTACGACGATTAATAATTGTATATTAATAATTACGACGCAGCAATCTGGTACAACGATTAATAATTAACGGTTTAATCTTTTTTTTAGATATCGATATATATCGATATACACTTTAAAAGTTTTAATGCTTTTTTACTGTTAAAAAAAAAAATTCCAAAAAATTAAAATGCAGTTTGATCCTGTTGTTGTCGAGCAGTTAATGTAAGCTTTAAGAATAAACTCTACCATAACTTTATTTCTTCCTCTCATGAGGTATTCTTTAACTTGATAGTCTTTGCTGCCAATGTGGGACCGCCATTGCCCCAAACCCTTCGAACATGTGCATTAATTGCATTCGAAATGAAGTTGATATTACTGACGGCATTCCAAAGCAAGCTACTTTACAGTTTTGTCGCAATTGTGAGAGATATTTACAACCACCAAATATATGGATCCGTGCTGAATTAGAGAGCAGAGAGTTGTTATCTCTTTGCCTCAAAAAATTGAAGGGTTTGAATAAAGTCAAGCTTATTGATGCTGGTTTCATATGGACTGAACCACATTCAAGAAGGATTAAAGTTAAATTAACTGTTCAGAAAGAGGTAAATATGCTTTATTTTTATGCTGATCATAAATTATATTTCTCATTGTTTAAAAATCTAGGTTTTCATATCAACAATGATACAACAAATTACCGAAGTAGAGTTCATAGTTAATTATCAACAATGTGGTGACTGCACACGTCTCATGGCAAAAAATACTTGGCAAGCAATGGTCCAAGTCAGACAAAAAGTCAATCATAAACGGACTTTTTTGTTCTTAGAGCAGCTTATTCTTAAACACCATGCTCACAAAGATACAATCAATATTAAAGAAGTCAAAGATGGACTTGACTTTTTCTATGCACACAGATCTCATGCTGTCAAAATGGTCGAATTTCTAAACGCTGTTGTTCCAATTAAGTAAGCTGATTCATTAATAACCTATTCATACGCTGTATATATTCAAATATTTAAATTATTATTATTATTTTTTTTTTCAGAACAAAGTCTTCTGAGCGATTGATTTCGACTGATATTCATAACAATACATCTAATTATAAATTTACTTATTCTGTGGAGATTGTTCCTATATGTAAAGATGATTTAGTTTGTTTACCATTAAAGATTGCGCGTTCTTTGGGCAACATTAGGTTTTATTAATCTTTCAAAATTATATATATTAGCTCTTGATACTTTTTATTTATCTTTAATTAACAAATTATCATTAATAGCCCATTAGTTCTTTGTTACCGTGTTGGAAATTCAATACATGTAATGGATCCAAACACTTTGGCTGGTAAGTGATCATTTCGAAATAGGTTTTCGTATTAAGTTTTCAAAATAGGTTTAATAATTATTATTTAATTGTATTTTTTAACTTACGCGTGTATTATTATAGTTTCTGAAGTATCCACATCTATATATTGGAGACAACCGTTTAATTCCTTGGCAACAACAAAAAATTTAGTAGAATACTATGTTTTGGATGTTGAACCTTTGGGTCCTACTCGTGGCAAGGTAACAAACAATATTGATCTTTGAAACAAGATTGATTTTAGAATCTTTATTAATAAATTTCATTTTTCATAGTATATACTTGCCGATATTTTAGTTGCACGCTCGTCAGATTTTGGAAAAAATGACACTACCTTTTATGCTCGATCTCATCTCGGAGGAATTCTTAGTCCAGGCGACAATGCTATGGGATACGATCTTTCATCATCTAACTTTAACGACTTTACTTTTGATAGTCTCAATCAGAATTATCTTCCAGATGTTGTTCTTATAAAAAAATCTTATTCACAAAAACGTAGGAAAAATAAACGTAATTGGAAGCTAAAGTCTTTAGCAAAAGAAGAAGAAAAATTGGATTTAGAGAAAATGGACCAAGATTACGAGTTATTCTTGCGAGATTTGGAAGAAGATTCAGAGCTTCGACAAAATATTAATTTGTATAAGTCTAATAATAATGCTATGGACATAGATACAACTGTTGAAGAGAATAATGATGAGGATGATGATTTCCCCGAAGTAAAATTAGAAGAGTTATTAGATGAGCTTACTCTCGATGATGATGTCGATCCATAAACTATTAGTCATATCATTAGCTAATTTATATAAAAATTTGTTTACTAAAAATTGGGGTCTCGATTTGAAAAGAAATCCCTATTAAAACCTTCTATTGTACTTTTTTTTGCACCTTTTGACAATCAATTTCGAATACTTTCATCAAGAATATCCTACATTTAAATGCTTAATGACAGTCAACTGAGATGTTACACGTATCGATAGTAAATTTTTTTTTACAATAAATGGTTCGACGGTGGATCCAGGATGTGGGAAGAAGTTTGTTTCGGATCGCGGGAAATTGAGAGTTGGTGCATGGGTTAAGGTTATACTTGTTGCCCAAATCCAAACTACCATAGTTCAGCTTTGCCCACGCCTAATTACAAAGCTCTTGCTAAAATAATATGACATCGGGAAATTTTACTAACAGATATAAATCGGTATATAGCGTTTAATCGATATTTATTGTTTGTATTTTAACGATAAAAATCGATAAACATGTTATTACTCGATATATATCAGAAAACGATATAATTCGGTAAAAATATATAGTTATCGATTTATCATCGAATTTAAATAAACGTCAATTTTCGATTATTCGTTTTGAATCGATAATTATCTTACTTAAAACGTTTATCGATATATATCTAATACACACTATATTACTTTAAATATGCACTTTTAAATATACACTTTAAATTAGAACATAAAACTGTTCAATATATTTCATTTGTTTTGATAAATCTTTGGACTGTTTATACTCTCCAATATTATACAAGTGTAGTGCTTGAGTGGTTTCAATTTGGAACATCCTCATAACTTACCATCTTCCTCATACTAGCAAACTAGAATGAACTCAAGTGGCTTTTTATTTGCTTGATAAAACTTGAGTATTAATAGTATCTTGATAAACAATATTTATATTAGTTATACTATTTTTGAAGTTAGCTATAAATGAAAAATATTGTTTAACTTTGAAAGTTATTTCATATATTATTATTAACTTATTTTTATTGTTAGTTATTTATTATAAAAAATTTATAAATCAAATAAATATAAATAATATATACCAAGTTATACTAATTTATTTCTTCATATTTGTTAATGCTATAGCTAGTGCTCGGCACAATCAAACAAAAATTTGACAGTAAAATACTTGTTAATACTTATGTTTAAATCGGATGTCAAACG